GAAACCTTTACCTACTCCCAAGTTCAGAAAAATCCTCCTGTGCTTTCTTCTAAAGCTTAGTTTTGTTTTGTTTTGTTTCATTAAGGTCTAGATCAATCTCAAGTTAATTTTTTATTTAAAAAAAACGGGTGGTCCAGGTTAATTTTTTCACATATTGTTACACAATTGTTCCAGCACAATTTGTTGAAAAGACTTTCTTCTTGTACATTGACTTGCATTGTTGCCTTTTGTCAAAATTAAATGATCATACAGACCAGGATCTAGTTCAGGGACAATGAGTAATGGTTGAATATTGAACTAGTTTTGCATTCCTGAGATAAGCCCCATTTGGTCATGATGTATTATCCCTTTTATATATTGCTGGATTTGACTTACTAATATTTGTTTAGGATTTTTGCATTATGTTTAGGAGAGAAATTGGCCTATAATTTTTCTTGTAATTTTCATGTCAGGTTTTGGTAATTAGGTTTTGCTAGGTTCATAAAATAAATTGGGAAGGGTTCCCCTTGTTTTTGTTTTTGTTTTTTTTGTTTTTTTTTGGAAGAGTTTGTGTAAATTTTTTTAACAGTGAAGCCATCTGGACCTTAAATTTTCTTCGTGAGGTTTGTAATTATCGATTAAATTTTCTTAATGGATATAGGACTATTCAGATATATTTTCTTCTTGAGTCAGTTTTGGCAATATATATTTTTCAAAGCATATTCACTTTCATTTAAATTGTCAAATTTTTGTTTGTTGTTCATGAGATCTTTCAATGTCTTTAGTACCTATAGTGATTGCTTTTTAACTAATGCCACTACCTTTTTTTTTCTTTCCCCAACCCACCATCCGCCATATACTTTATTTTTTCATTCTTTATATTTTCGGGTTCTTGACTGGTCATAATTCTTGTTGTGGAAAACAAGAGTCCACAGCAGGTACTCTGAGCAGAAAAAGATTTATTAAGGAGAATAGATAGGTCACAAGACCTTTGGGATACCTAAACGGAAACTTTATTTAATTTTACCCATTTGAACGGTAGAACTTAACATCAAAGGGAACTATCAAAATGTGGTGTCCAGAATATTGGGGGCAGCCATAAATGAGAGGTTTAGTTACAAACTCTTTTACTCTAACTTTAATATAGAACAGGAGTTTATTGTTTTTGGTTTTTGATATCTATTGATTTAACTGTGTTATGTTTTTAATGGACTTCTTAAAAAATGATTGGACATACTGTTTTAGATTTTCTTTAGAAAATGAAAAAATTCGGTGACATACAATGTTTCTAACTGTATCATCCTTTAGTTTATTTTTTATTTTCTAAGCACCATTTGCCCTTGTAGAAAACCTTGTTTCTACTAAAATTGTTTTTTATACTCTTTCAAATAATTTGTTTTGACTTGTTTTGCACTAATTTCTCTTGTGCCTTGCAAATATTTAAAAATATCTTCTATTCAAATTAAGCAATTATTGCAATATAATGTGAACAAATAATTTATCTTTTCTCTTTGACTATAACGTGGAAACTACATTGAGCACTTCTTACATGGTTCCTGTGTGGCTTGCTTAAACTTTTTTCTCAGTAGTATTTTTAGCAGTTTGAAGAATATTTTTAAGAAATAGTGAATTCAGTTTTTTAATGGAAGTTTTTAGAAATTTTCTAAGGTTACATTGTGAATCGGAGAAGAGTTGAGACTTATCTGTCTGTATAACCCTTCAGTCAACCCTGTGGCTTACATGGTAGAATTATTCTAATTTAATCTGTAGGCTTGTTAAATATTGTTTTTCTCTTGATAATGCAAGCCGGACTGTATCTTATTAGCATTCTGATAGATTTTTGAGGGGAGGGGCACAGGCAGTATCTTGAGTTTTCCTATAGTTTGAAATGCTTTTTGAGTGCAAGGACCAAGTTTATTTTTTATTGTCTCCCCAAAGTGTATGATGCATGGTCAGTAATAGATGTTAAGTAATGTTGTTGAATTAAGATGAGAATGTAAATCAGTCGACAAAAATAAAGGAAAAAGAAGTTGGCTCTTTGACATACAGGAGACAACTAATCTTTAAAGCATTAGGTAAATTGGTTAGGAAACTGACCAGTGTTCTACCAAGAAGTAGAAATGTGTTCACTAGGTGCAGGGTTGTACTCCTGCACATTTCTAGCTAAAGATCCAGGTCCTAATCGTTTATGAAAATTACAGAACAGTCTGTGCGTTCCCTTGTTAATGAACAGGCTATATTATATGATCTCCTTTAACAATCTTCCATTATCCCCTCTTTGATTCCTCTAACATGTGTCTCACTTCCTTGCCAAGGGAACCAGCCCCATCTATGCTCTCACTCCATGCTTTTCTGCCTCCTCCAGGAACTAATTGCATCAGCCATCTCCTTCTTTCAGTATTTTCAGTATTTTCTACCTTCTTGAGTTAACGGCACATTTTCTTCTGCTGTTATTGTCAAAGCTTTCCTTCCCTTGACTTTTTTTCTCAAGCTACCATTCTTTGTCTTTCCCCCGTGCCATCAAAATTACACAAACAAGTTTTTATTCACTTCTCTGTCACTTACACAATGTCCTCTTTTCCATCTTTGTTCTTTTTGACTTTTGAGCCTTTGACATTCTTGACTACTGTTATAGCTTTGTATAGTAGAAAGAAAGTAGGTTTTGGCTTTGACAGGCTCGAGTTTGGATTCCTGCTCTGTGTGACCTTGGACAGATTCATATCAGAGTCTGTTTTCCTTATTTGTGAAATGCACATACATGTGAATGTACTTGCCTGAGGGAAAGGTGCTTAATAAATATTCCTTCCCTGTTTTGCTTAGTTTCTGACACATTGCCCTATCCTGTATTGCTATACCATTTATGAGGTGGGTAGTAGTGTTATCTTCATTTTACAAATGAGGAAACTAAGTGGTGGAGCTGGGATTGTAGGAGTGGTGGAGCTGGGATTGTAGGAGTGGTGGAGCTAGGATTCCACCCCAGGGCTATCTGATTTCAGAGTCTAAACCCTAAGTTTCTGTGCTAAATTGCCAGCTACAGCTTCCCTGTGGTGTTAGTACACCAGTTTCTTTTTATATGATGTCAGTCGTATGAAAATATCTTTAATTGGTACAATTGACCCTTGAACAACATGAGTTTGAACTGCATAGGTCCACTTATATACAGATTTTTTTCCATAAATACTGTAAATGTATTTTCCTTACGATTTTCTTAATATTCTCTTTAGCTTACTTTATGGTAAGACTATAATATATAATACATATAACATGCAAAATAGGTTAACTGATTTGTCGGTAAGGCTTCTGGTCAACAGGAAGCTATTAGAAGTTAAGTTCTGGGAGAGTCAAAAGTTAACACGCAGATTTTCAGCTGCACGGTGGTTCAGCGCTCTGAACTCTCATGTTGATCAAGGGCCAACTTATGAGATGTCAGAACCAGCGGAGCTTTTTGAATGAAATTTTCTTCCCATTTTACCTAGTGTGTGTATCTCTGTGTGACACAAGCACAGACAACTGGGTCACTTAAGTGGCCTTTTTAAATGAAATTAATTGGTAGCCAACCGAGGAAGTATACCAAGAGACAGAGTTTCGTATTTGGGGAATGCTAGATGGTACATAAAAGTGCCAAACCAAGAAATGTGAGGACAAAGGCAGATAACTGTAATACTCAGATATGTGATTGTGGGCTCACACAATGCATCACTGCTGGAAAGGAATCGTAGCTTCACTGGCTTTGCAGACTAGAAAAGAAAGTGGGAATGTTACTCCCTTACCTTCACCTTTTAGCATTGTGATGCAGTACTTCCAGGAGTAATATGGCATTCCTCTGGCTAGAGAAAATTAGTGATTTTGTTAGCAAAATGGACTCATTGTTGTACTTGCCTGTGGAAGGCGAGGCTCCTAGCCCAGTATGCAGACTGTTTCAGGGATGCCAGTATTCCTTTGGCTGACAGACAAAAGGGAGACAACATGGAGTAGGATTGCTCTCAGGGCATTATATGGGATCATGACTCTACAGCACCAAGGGCAGAAGAATGAGTTCCTATGAAGATGAACCAGATTCATAAAGACCTTAATCATTTTTCTCTCTTTCTCATCTACTCTTCAGTAGCATGTGGCTGTAGATTGTATACTGCTCTTTCCTGAACTTTCTCTGTACACTAACCATCTGTTTAAGCTTTGACAACCTCTAGGTATGATGCTGCCCTATCCATTCTGTCTGTTCTCTGAATCTGTGTGCCAGACTTGAGGATGCTACAAAGAACCTTGAATCTTAATGTGGGGAATTCTTTCAACTCAAAAAGTATAATTTATACCTTTGAGACAAGAACTAAACAACATGCATAAAAACTATATATTGCAGTTATAAAGGAAAGGGCACACATCAGATTTAATAGCAGCAGCTGTTGTGGTGCCACATGTTGGAACACTAGTAATAGCGTCTTCAAATTCAAAAGGAAACACTATAGCATTGTAGCCAAGGAGTTAGGCCTACAATTCTTACTTTATAGGCCTTGAATCATTTTTTCTCCTTACTTCTAGGGTAAGTGGATTTATTTATAGGTGGAGACTATAGTTAAGACACTTCTCTAGAGTCACAGAGTGGGAAGGAGGCACTATGGTATTTCTCCTGTATCTTCTTTATATTGTAAAGTGAAATGTTCTCTGATATATTAGTAGTTTCTAAGATGTGTATTAAGTTTACTTAAGTATAATTACTGTGTACCTAGTTGGGATCATAATTTATATCAGGCAAGCTACAAAATGTAGATTTATTATTTTAGTTGTAGGTATAAAACTTATGCCACTGATGGAATGATCTGCTTTCTTATTGTAATGGATTAGAAAACTTTTAGTGCTTTGGCAGGATTAGGAGAAGGCATAATCTCACTTTTATGAGACTATCATGTGAAAGTACTATTAAGGGCATATTTGAGTATGATTTATATCAAAACTCAGCTACTTTATTATAGACAATAAAGGAACTATTGGTCTAAAACTAGTAAAACCTTTTTCTCTAATAGGTAATCAATAAAATGTCTCCAACATCCCTGAAGATCACATTAAGGCAACTCATGGAGGGATCTTCAAAGACTTTGCAAGAAGTGTTAACTATGGAATATTGTCTGGTTCAAGCTCTCATGGTAAGATTTTTAAAAAAGCAGTAGTTTCTAGTTATGAATGTAATATATGTTTATTGTATAGCCTATAAAATATAGAAAATTATAAGAAAATTAAAATTACCTGTAAATGTTTCTATGAAAACAACAGGCTAGTTAGCTTAGGGTGTGTTGAAGTATTGCTTCCAGATTGTTACTAAGCCTTTATGAAAAAGCAGTTACATTTGTATATAAGTGTAAGATTGCTAACCTCATGTGGAATTCAAAATAGAAATTAACCACTTTTCAGGCATGGTCTCTGACCTTGGGCAAGAAGCATAAACTCTCTAAATCTGAATTCATCATTGGTAAAATGAGTGTGTGTGTATGTGTCTGTATACATATATATGTATACACACATATGTAAAATGTACAAGTGGAAGTTATTAGTCTGTTACGTGTTTTAATCAATAGATTAACATTGAAAGTGCCATTGTAAATACACGTAAAATAGATAATTATCCAAAGATTATTGATTTCATGAAACATTTCATATTTTTGATTTCATGCAACATTTCAGAGTCATAGTGATTTCTTCCTCCAGACGATAAACTCTTTAAAAGCAAAATCATCCCTTTTGTGTTGTGTATAGAGGGCCCTTAGATTAATAAATTTATGACCTAAAGGAAATATTTTAATAGGAAGAAGACATCCCTAATGGACTTTCATGACTTGAAGTAGTTATTAAGATATTCAAAGTAGTTCCTCTAACCATGACTAGAACTCTATTAGTCATATCTTACAGTCACACCCTGTAGGATATAAATGGTAGCTGAGGTCTCTTGTTCTGAGTAGATACTGTGCTAGGCACTTTATATGCATTCTCTCCATTAAATCTTACATTATCTTTAGAAGGATAGGTACTATTATTGTTTCCATTTTACAGATAAAGAAGCTGTGGTATAGAGATGGTACAGAGGCATGGCATGTAAAACCAGGCAGTTTCACCACACGGCCTGCACACTTGACCACTGCCTGGTATACCTCACATAGCCCATGTTTTTCACTGTACATTTAGTGTACTGCCTAGATTGATTGATTCCCTCCTTCCTTCATTTTCTCAGCAAATATTTTAGCTATGTGCCGGGCACTGTCTTAAGTGTTACATTGTTGAAAGAATGACACTGTCCCATCCTTATAGAATTTATAGTCTACTAGACTACAAATAACAAGTAAACAAAATAAGTAAAATAATTACAAATTGTGGTTAGTGCTCTAAAAGCAATATATACTGGGTTGGTGATAGAAGAGAATGATGCAGGGATGGGAGGGAGTGAGGAGATAAAGGGAAACCACCTTTTAAAAAGTTGGGCCGGGAAGACATCTTTGAGATGTCAGCTCACCTGTGACCTGAAGGTGAGAAATGAGTATATTGAGAAGCCTCTTGGATTTCAGCACGGAGTGATTTGGTTCACTTTGTTTAAGGTAATTATTGCCTGCTGAATGGAGGCGGGGTTGGGGGGGTTCAAGAGTGGATGTATAGACCAGATATGAGTTTATTGCAGTAATCCAGGTGCAAAATAGTAGTAGCTTAGATGCGGGTGGTGGCAATGGAGAGAAGTGAATGGATTTGAGATCAAAGTAGGCAATAGAATTAATAGACCTTGATGTTAGAAGTGAGGGAAAGAATACCTTTAGGAGTTGGAACTTAGAGTTGTAGGTTAGAGATTTAAATCGGAAAGATATTAGCACCAGCAACATGCCTGAAAACTACATACTGCAATTATAGAGGAAAGGACAAACATCAGATTTAGACAGCATGTAATGGGACCTCTTGTAGCAGCTGTTGTGGTGCCAGTCACACACGTGTTGGAACACTAGTAATAGCATCTTTAAATTCAAAAGGAAGTGACATAGCATTGTAGAGATTTATTTATTAACAAATAAGAGTACTCAGCATGTGCTGGGCACTATTAGAGGCACCAAGAATACATAAAAAAAAACAAAACAAAACAAAAAATTTCAACTCTAGTGGAACTTACTTTGTTATGGGGGAGATAGATTATAAACAGGTAAATTTGTAAAATATACTATAGTAAGTACTAAGGAGAAATAAAGTGGAAAGGGGGATGGATACAGGAAGAAGAGAGAGGGGGTTTGAACTTGTAGATGGGATGATCAGAGAAGACCTCACTGAGAAGGTGTTATTTAAGTAAAATCCTGAAAGAAGTGAGTGAGTGATCATCCAGGCAGAGGGCACCACAAGTAAAAGCTCAGATATGGGTGCATGCCTACCTGTTTTAGGAACCTCAGGGAGGCCTTGTGGATGGAGTAGAGTGGAGGGATGGTCAGTGAGTGAGAGAGAGATGAAGTCAGAGCTAACAGGGCAGGAAGGGCTGCACAGAGCACATGTGGCCTTGAAGGTCTTTATAAGACTTTGGCTTTTGTTCTGAGTACAGTAGAAAGCCACTGGATATTTTTGAGCAGAGGAGTCACATGATCTTATATTTTAACAGAATTCATAGCTGCTGATGTGTTGAGTACAGAATGGATAAGATCATTCAGAAGGAAAATAAGAGACTTCTGATCTTAGCCCTGAGGAGCACCAACATTTTGAAGTGGGGCAAAGGAGAAGTAGAAGAGGAAAAGGGCAGAGGTAGAAGAACCCGGGGAGTGCAGTGCGATAAAGGCAAGAGGAGTGTTTCAAGGAAGAGGGAGTGCTGCCGAAGCACTAGTAGATGAAGATAAAAGCATCCTATGCATTTGGCAACACTGAAGTTATGGATGATTTTGGCTAGTCGTTTCAGAGGAGATTGGGGCAGAAGTTATATAGTGTGGTAAGTTGGAGAGGAAATGAGTAAATGAAAGGTGAAGAAGTGGAGACTGTATATACAACTCTTCTTCAAACAGAAATAGGGTAGAAACTGGAACTGTGGAATCAAATGAGTTTCCTTTTTTATTTGGTAAGGTAGGAGATACTGGAACATGTTAATAAATGATTGAGAATGATCCAATAGAGAAAAAAGATTATGTTAATGATACTAATAATAGTTAACATTTATTGAATACTTACTGTCAGAAACTGCTAGATGTGGATCAAGATAATCCTATGATGGATGTATTGATACTGCCATTTCAGGAAACTGGGAGGTAGAGAAATTATTATCCCAAGGTCACATAGTTTCTATGCAGTAGAGCCAGGAGGTGAACCCTGATGTTTGAACTGCATGTACTTAGCCACTAAATTTTACTGCCTACATTGATCAAGCCAGGAGAAGAAAGAGAGATGGAAAACCTTCTCAAGCAAAGTCCTTGAGAAGGTAAGAGAGATGTTACTATGCAGGGGCAGTCTGGCCTTTGAAAGAAGGATGGTCCCTTCTTCTGTAGTCAGGAAAGGGAAGTCATGGTACAGATGGCAGTAGTTGAGCTGCAGGTGTTTCAGTGGTGGGAAAAAGAAAATGTTCATGTGTTAGGGCTCCTCTTTTTTTTTAATGAAGTAGAAGGTTAAGTCATTAGCTGAAAATATAGTGAGAGTAGAGTTTGCTAGAGGTAAAGTTTGAGTTAGAAAACAGTTTAAATCATTATCTTGGGGAGTAGGGAAGAGAACCATGGGTAACAGCAGTTTTCCATGCCTATTTGAGATTTGTGATTATGGATTTTAAATTAAACAAGTCACAGTTGTATGATTTTTTTGCCCCAAAGATTGAGCTCCTCGAATGCAGCAGCAGGTAAATGGTAAGGTTCAGCTGGTGCTGGGATTTTGCCAGGACAGAATAAAGAAAAGGGCTTGAGGGGAGAGGAGGACATTTTCAAGGAAAAGTGACCACATTAATAGAATTCGGGAAACTGGGCTGGTTGAAGAGCGAAGTGAACAGGTAGAAAGTCGTAGGATCAGTGGAGCTCAGTAAGCTGAGGGATTTGCAGCAATGGAAATACTTGAGCACATAAGGAGAGTATGTTGTCAGAGTTGGTTCAATCTCTGATGTCATGGCTCAGGTTGTGGCCATGGGACTGGGAGGCCAGAGCAGGCTTGGAGAGAGATCACTGGGAATAAGGATGCCCAGAGAGTTCCCTTTTGTCTTGATTTTCTTTCAGGTACACCATGACTTTCACGAAGGCGTCAGGGCACGTAAGTGAGAGTTATTTCTTTCCTGGCTATTATGAAAATAGGATTTATGAGTATATACTATTAATCAAATATTATAGTTGTTTTATTAGTGAAAATTAGACATTTATAAAGATTGCAGTTTTTTAAAAAATATTACCAATTGCCATATAAGGAAAAATAAGTCTTTGAAATCACATCACCTGGTCACTGCTCCCTAATTATATGTAAGAGGTAATCCTGCTCCTGCAGTCACATGAACTGTCTCTACTAAGTGCAGTGTGAGCTTTTTTTGCTACTCATTTTGCTACTGAAGCCTTTGAAAGGTATATTTATTCCCTTGCAAAGAACCTTCACACCCCCTACCCTCCTCTCTTGTACTGGCCTGGCAAAATCCCAGCAGTGTCAAACTCTCCCCTCTCCTTCTTTTCCTGTACCTGAACAGTTAAAACATTGACATTGAGAAAAACCATATGACATAATTCATAACATCTGCTAATGCTTTTATTAATTTTTTTGCTTACCTTCAAAGTCAGCATATTTAGAAAATGCAAGTGGTTTTTTTTAATTCCTAGCAAATTTGGAATAATTTATTTTTATGTATATGCCCATATCTCTATAAATAATAGCTCTTATTTCTCTTGTTTGAGTTCTTCTGCATGTATTTTGCTTATCTACTCTTCTTATGATTTTATTCGTCACTTTAATATAGTACAGACTGTGTATATATTTTATCTGAGTAAAAGGTTATGTTCTCTGAGCTTTAAGCTTCAATAAACTTTACTGGTTATTGCTGTAAAATTTTCTTAATTTATGGCATACTGTAATATCAGAAATAAGCAGAGGGTTCACATCCTTTTAGAGGACACATGCAGTGGAGTCAGAGGAGACAACTATGTTTTATAGAGACCAAGTAAAATATGCATTTTCCCCACTAATTCCTGGCAGATTCTTGCTGCATGTAGATCAACACTTCTGATTTTAGGAGGACCTGTGTGGTGTTTGAGTTATATTGCTAAAATATTCATTATATGTTATAGCAACCTTTCTTAAACTTAAAGATATTGTTTTTATATATACCGTCAGTTATTTTAAGAAAAAAGTTGAAACCAAGCAGCATTAAAGTTCTAATTTATAACACAGGTGCTTATCAAACTACTTTTAATAAATAGAAAGTATGTTGCTTCATCTTTCGGCATAACCTTTTTATTCAGAAAGCAGTATCTATTCTGGGTAAAACATGTTTTTGCATAGTCAAATGTTGCTATAATTTGCTAACTATAAAGTAAGCAAATTAGATAAAATAAACTAATGTTGGCAAATTGGATAAAATAAACTAGCAGATTATAAAATAAACTAGCAAATTCTTACACTTAATATCTAGAACTTCCTAGTTATAGAAGAAAATAAAAATGGATCATCTTAGCAGAGATAGAGAGCTACCAAATGGTATTTGAGTGAGTGCCTCATGAGAGACCTGAAAAATCCAAGCTGCCTACGTGGCAAGAACTTGTTATATTTATGCCAGGTAAAAATTTGATAGTTTGAAATTAACACCCAGATTTTACTGCAATTCTCTTTCCTTTTGCCCTTCAGTGTACTGTTAAGGAGGTAGATAGCACTGGCCAGAGAGCTTAAAAGGGAAGAGATTCTTGTAGAAAGAATGTTCTGGGATTGTTTTTATTTACACTGTCCAGGGAATGTTAAAACTTTCGAGTTGGCAGGGACTGTAACATCAGTCTTCAATATCACCACTGATCTGATGATACTGGAATCCCAAAGTTAGGCAGCCAAACCTTAAAAACTTCCAGTGTCCACATTTAATTATGCATAAAGCCCTCTTCCATCTTCCTCCTGAAGCAGGCTTCTTCCTCAGTTCCCAGACTGCTTCTTTAATTATTTAGCCTTTTAATGCTCAATGCGGTTTGTTAGGTTCATTATAGAGTTTGTATGTTTAAATATTTTCATTCTTCACAAGAATTTTGTACACTTTAAGCATGATTGAAATTCCCTACCATACTAAATGTAGCCCCCTTCTGTTTCTTTAGTTTTTTTTTTTTTTAGATAATTGTAGATTCACATGCCATCATAAGAATTAATATAGAAAGAGCCTACATACCCTCCACCCAGTTTCCCAGATGGTAATATTTGTATAAGTAGTATATTGTCACAGCCAGGAAACTGATGTTTCCCTCATTTATGAAGGAGAGGTTACAGATTGCCTCATAGTTATAATCCTGTGGGGATACTGTGTGGCTACTCTAAATGATGACTACACTGAAATAAGAGAAGTAGGGTTTCTCATGATAACCTGAAGGCGGTCTGGTATTTTAATTCAGTGCTGTGTGAACTAGAGGGCTCAGCAAAATGCCAGTATCCACATTTAATTATGTATAAAGTCCCCTTTAAAGTAATTTTCCTCTCAAATCAATGTGGAGGTGATTGGAAGGTAGATCTGAGCCCTCCACCCTCTCCTTCCTTCTCTTTAAACCACACAAGCTCTGGTTTTAGCTGCTTTATTGCAGGGAGATTTCATTTACGTTTTTGTTTGAAGAGGAAAGGAGTTCTAAGCCTTCAACTGCTGGATTTGTTCAGTAGGCTGTATTCAAGCTAGAGGCATCAAGCTTAGTAGGTTAGAAAATAACCGCACGGTCATCATCAGTACATTGCTATCCATCCAAATTTGGTGGGGGCTTAATTTATAAGAAAAAAATGAAACAAAAATTCAGACTTTGCAGGGAAAAAAATGTGCTATAGAAAAATATGCCTAGTCCCAGGTAGTTTTGATTCAGTAATTAAAATCTGGTAATACCAGAAAGAAATGAACTAACTTTTCTCATATCTTCACTTGACAGTTTTAATAGATAAAGACCGGAGTCCAAAGTGGAAACCAGCTAATCTAAAAGAAGTGACTGATGAAGATTTGAATAATTACTTTAAATTTCTGGGAAGCAATGATTTGAAATTTTGAAGTGAATTTTGAAAGTATTATTTTAGAGCAGGGGTTGACAAACTATGGCACATAGCCAGAATCTGTCCAGCTGTCTGTTGTTCATATATTCCACAAACCGAGAATGGTTTCTGCATTTTCAAATGGTTGGGGAAAGAAATTAAAGACATATTTCATGATGTGAAAATTACATGAAATTCAAATATGAATGTCCATAAAAAAAGCTTTTAAAACATAGCTGTACTCATCTGTTCACATATTATTTATAGCTGCCATGAGTAGTTGCAACAGAGATTGTAAGGCCTGCAAGACCTAAAATATTTACTATCTGGTTCTTTTCAGAAAAGTTTGCCAACCCATTTTAAAAGATGGGAAATTTGAAGGCCTTTAGAGATTCTCAAGTTAGTAATCTAATTAAAATGGGAACTTTAGCTTTTGGTTTTGAGTAGTAGTTTATATGTTGATTAAATAAATATATATATATTATAAAAAATTAAAACCCTGAAATTTTTTTGGATACTGTTAATGCTTCATAGAGTTTTCTCCATGTATATGTGTGTGTGTGTATGTATATATGTGTGCATGTGTGTGTGTGGGTATCTCAAAGAGATATCTGCACTCCAATGTTCACTGCAGCATTGTTCATAATAGCCAAAATATGGAAACAATCTAAGTGTCCACTGACAAAAGAATGAATAAAAGAAATGTGAGATATATATATATATGTGTGTGTGTGTGTATGTGTGCATGTGTGTGTGTGTATATATATATATAAATCTATTTGACAGTAACTGAGTTACTATTGCAGAAGTGTTCCTTTTATAACTTTAGAATTCTCAAGCAAAGAGAAAAGGTTTTTATGAAGTTGTTTCCAGTATTATTAACTCAGTCTTGGCCATTCCTAAAGTTAACCACAATCCCTTATTATGGTAAAAGTGAAAGCATTATTTCTTGTTGTTTGTAATATTTGCTAATTTGGCAGAATGAAGAATTAGGAAACTCCAATCTCTAAGATAGTGGCTCTCTGTTTTCTGTAATTTACATCAAACATCTGTGTGATAACAGTTATTTGGCCTTACACAGTTCAAATCAGGAGGTAAACAAAAACAATACTTTTATTTAAAATAGAAATATCTTCAGTGATTGTTACTGTTGACAAAATAAGTTTTTTTCAAGGTATGCAAGAAACTAAAGTGTTCCAGACTTGTGACCTTAAAGTCTAGGTAAGAAGAATTTTTTAGTTAATTTATCATTTTATAACTTGTATAGTTTTTCCTTCCCTCAGAAACTAAGAGAACTTCAGGTTTGTAAGCAAGTTTGTAAGAACAAAAAGTAGCAGAACTGAAAATGACATCAAAGATTATATCTTGTACCCTTCTCATAGATGAGGAAATTGCAATCCAGAAGGAATTGCTTTAAATTTTGTTCTTAATATATTAAACATGAAGGATTTCCCCCGCGCCCCCAAAATTTAGGAACAGTTTGGAATAAATATGCCATAATGGACATGTTTACATTTATATTATTAGAACTTCTAAATTGGAACTGAATGATCCAGGAAATTACTTACATAACTGAATTTTTATTTGCTTTGTATTTGTTAGAAATGTAGATGTTAAGTCCTTTATGTTAAAAAATTTGAAAATAGTGTTGAAAAGCATTTGCTTATTACTTCAATTAAATAAGAACTCAGCTAGTTGCAACTAGACTTTTATTATATAGTTACAAAAAAAGTGTTTTCACAAAAATATTTGGAAAAAATATACCATTTCATAGCTAAGTCTTACAGGGAAGAGAATTTGCTAACAAAACTTGAGTTTTGCAAAGTGAGATACAGGGTGTGCATCTGAGCTCATGCCCAGTCCTCCAAGACATGTCCTATTTGGGCACACAAATACAGGATGACTGCATCGTGATTAAGCAAACAATATACTTGTTAGAACTGTTTTTTTAATTACCATTCCTTGACATTTATAATGTCCCTAACTTTTGATTTCTAAAACTATACAAAAGTATAGTTTCCTCCATTTCATAAAATGTCATTTATATTGAGGATATTTGAGTACCATGCTTTGTTCATTCAATATTCATTAATACTAATAAGGCAGTTTGACACAAATCATTCCTTTGAAACTAAGATCATTTTTATCTCCTTCAAAATTGTGTTTTAAGTGCTAATAATAACCATAGTTGGTGTGTAGAGAACTGGTAAGGCAACCGAAAGTGGAGGACTCATATCAAAGGCCTGAAACTGAAAGATAATAGTGTACAGGAGACACTGAACTGCGGGAGGAGTGGGGGAGCACATTTGTGGGGTTATGTGAGTCTTTGTAAATGCGGAATTGGCACATTTCCTCTGATAATCTGCTTCTACAGTTGCCAACTGCAGGTTCTTTGTCGTGCTGGTGGTGGCTCATCTGCCCCTAGGGATTCAGGATGTTTTTGAAGGAAACGATCCAGTGGTTGTGGATGTGTCAGTGTAGTAAAGAAAGTGGCTTCCGTGTCCTCTCCCTCGGTTGAAAGTACTGGAAACTTGTATTGCAATGAGTGATGCAGTGATGGAGTTTGACATTAGTGCTGTTTCTTGGGCTCTCTTTTCCCCACTTTCTGTTTCCCCTTACTATTTGGCCATTATTCTTATTTCATCAGAGTTGTGATGAAGTTGGAACAAATGTTTCCTTTTCTAGTAGCTAATCTTGTTTTATATTTTTCCTCCCTCAAATAGTCCTTCTATTCTTTTATTGTTCATGTAAGACCTTTAAAGTGAAGTAAATCTAATATTTAAATATGAAGGTATGAAAGAAGCCAAAATATCCTGTCAAAGATGTTCGTATTTATCTCGTCATCAAGGCCAAACTATGTCTTGATAACTACCATGTGCAGTACAAGTCTTATTGTAGCTCTTTCTCCTGCCTGCTCCTAAGCTGGTTTATCCACTAACACATTTATTATACAAGCTTTGTAGTTTCTTATCTATGGTTTGACATATAATGCAGCATACATTTTCAAGATAAGTCTCTGTATGTCACAAGGTATGTTTAAATGATTCAGGAGTGAAGGGGGTGGTGCTTGGTAGCAGAACTGTACGCCATAGTGCTGCAGAGGGTAGCAACAGTTTAGACTTCTAGCTAGATATGGATCTGGCAGGCATCCCTGTTATGCCCCAAGGGAATAGGGGCCCAGGGCAAAGGAGGAACCTAAAGTTAAAATATTTAGATATAACCAAAACCCAGTAGTCTGTGTCCTTATGTGTGCTGAAAATTTTAGTGTGATGTGTTGCTTTTACATGGCTTTGTGTTCTTGCCATAATATGTATTAATGCCTAATTATATCTTTCAGCAAATGACTTTGAAGCAAAAATTTCCTAACGTGAGATATAAATGAATGAAAAATAGCAATATCCAAGCTTTTATCTCAGTACATTCAAAAACCTAAATTTTTCTTCATATGTTGGAAATGTGTTTTGCAGTTTTAGGAAATTTTGTTCTTAGCTTTATGACTTCAGGTCCTTTATATAAACAGGGGTTGTGGTTCTATTTTCTAAGTTGCTAAGATGGCAAGTACAAAAGAACGGTACACATCCTGGGTCTAGGTGAATTGAAAGTTGCATGACCACATGTCCAAAGGCAATGGAAAGATGGCATATCACTCACTTCAAAGAGCTTTCTTTGCCCATGTAACTTGGAGAATTCATTCTAATGGATTGTGAGTGTCAAAGTATTTGTTAAAATTAGAGGTAGCATTTCTGCCTGCTTGAAAGGCCTAATACATATTTATCTCATTAAAGAGCTCACGAGCCTTTCTCTGCCTTCCTTTAGATTTCAATGACAAGGGTCTATTGTATCTCAGTACAGGATCTAATGCACAGGGGCTTATATAATTCCCTTTTCAGTTAAACCCAATGTGTAGCAAATCTTGATGAAAAGGTAATTCTAAAGACAGTCCCAATTTTCCTACAAGTTATGTCTTAGTGTCTTCTTTCCTCTCTCCTAATTTTGTCACCATCGATCTTAAACAGTACTTAATTCTTTAAAAAAAAAAAGCTTCCAAGCCTTATTTATGAAAATAGTATTGTATATGGCTGTAAATGCCCTAAGGGCATTGTTTTCATAAACATAAGTACTCTCTTGGAAGAGTGTTTGAGCTTTTGTAATACAGCTATAAATCTTTATGCATCATCTGGTCCTACAGTAATTTGGTGACTGCCCCACTAGTCATTAAAGTGGGGATGAATATACATATACCAGCCTTCCGCATCTGTGAGACAACAAAGCTTAATACACATTCAACGTTGAGGCCAAGTTCTGCTTTCTGCCTTGCCAACTAGGGCTTCTTTTGTTTTAAAATTTACTGGATTGCTGTTTATAAAAGGTACCCAAACCTGTTTTCTTGTGTAGTTATATATCACTAGGCTTAATTCAATGCAATAAACATTAATGCCATGACTTCTGTAAATTATATCTTGTGAAATGCCTTATACGCAAAGTCTGAGTCATACAATAATAGCTGTGGTTAGTTAGGGCCCTGTGGTTCAAGGTGATATTTTTGTAGATGAAAAGCATAACTCTTAAGGACAGGGTTCATGGTAGACCTTTTGCTTTTTGATCATTTGTGTTAATAGGGATACTTCACACATATAGTTTTGATAAATAAGACCCTGTGAATAAGACAGACACTGTTAATCACCATGGCTTGAATGCCATTCATTGCCAAGGCATTTCAAGAAAAATTTTTTTCTGTATTTCGGGGGGGTTTTGGTGTAAATGAACAAATAGTTATTTTAAAGGAGTATCTTCAAACCTTTGGAAACTTGGGGCCTTTTTCTTTGGTGATGCTATCTCAAGAAGAAAGTGGTATGACATACAGCCGATTACTGTGGTGCCACAGGACCTACATTTAGCCCTTTCAATGACTAAAATCCAAAACCAAGCAAATAGAAACTGCTGCTACCACAGAACTGCTTAAAACACATTTCATTTTAGGTATTCCTGCATTCTTGATATTATAGATTTATTTTTATATTCAGATGAAGTCATTTGATCACAGCACTTTTTGCTTTTCTTTCCTGTATTTAAACTAGCACCAGCTATATCCACAGTTCAAGTAAGTGTCATCATCCTACAGTGTCAAGGCCCTTCACTCTCAATGAATGGAATGTCATAGTATTTGATGTTATTGTTTGCCCACTGCTGCAAGGCATCACTCAAGATTTGCTGGGACAGGCGGTGTGCAAATTCGAAGACCACGATTTCGGGCTTTGAGGGTTCCTTCACTTCCTCATTGATAACTGAAGGCATCCTAGGTCGAAATCTCTCTTCTGACATAAAGCTTTCTGCACTTGCATGCCGGTCGTCACTCTCAATTGTAGTAGGAAATGGGAAAGTTTGCTTTGATTTCATGCAGCCCATGTTATGAAGAGCTTTAACTGAGTTTAAGCAAAGAAGTAGCAATGACTACTTAACAGCATCTTTGGTAAACACTGAGCATTTGTCCACTTAATGTTGACCAGTGCTTTTCCTTTCCAGGCCACTTCAGAAATCAGTGTTCCCTTTCACCACTCTTCACACATAGTATTTATCTGTCAAGAGAAGAGAAGTTTTATTTTGAATATCCAGAATGCAAAATACTGTACAAACATGCTACCTAATCATACCTTTTTACCACTTTGGTCACATGGAGGAAATGTGAGGTAGCTATAGTTTTTAACAATTTACAAAATAGACATTTTTTTTCAAGGTCTTAAAAATTTTATCATACTGAAAACACAGTAAAACTTTTACTAGCTTAGATTTATTGATGTTACCAGGGGTCAGCCAACTAGTCTTTGGGCCATATTCTAGCTGCCTATTTTGTAAAATAAAGTTAATAGAACATAGGCATGTCCATTCGTTTACATATCATCTATGGCTACTTTTACAGCAGAGTTAAGTAGTTGTGACAGACCACGGGGCTCTTTATAGAAAATTTTTGTCAACCTCTGATCTATACTGTTAAGGGAAACGAGCATAACCAGATTTTCGTGTGCCTGGGACCTCATGAACCTACATATCTTGAGCTGTTCCCTCCTTAATTCCAAATGCATGAAAGAAGCTGTAAACTATTATTTAGAGCATCTGAGATCTTGCTCCTCAGCAACTATCGTCAGTTTTGGCTCAAACTCTTATAAAAGTTCTTTTTACAGATTGGACGTTTCTTATGTCAACATTTACTTAGCACAGTATGGCAGTTCTGGCAGCATCTGGTAAGCTCTCGCTGGCCCTTGCTTGGGTATTTTTAGGTGACTTAGAATTTTGAGGGAGTTGCCTGAGGAAAAATTTCCTCTAGGGAGCGAAGCAATCCTATAGGGATACACACCACATTTGGCTCATCTGGAGATGTGCATGTAAAGGTCGTTTCCCCCAGAAGTTTGTTCAGACTCTACAGATATCATAGTTAACAGGGGAAATTGTGTCTCTGAGTCTGACAAGCCCCACAGTCAGCCTCCCATTAATACTAAGATGGCCTAGATGAGGCTCCTTTGATACTTCTCTTTTTGTGTGCACAATTAGAGCCAGCTTAAAAATTAGAATGAATGGGGGAAAGAAAACTATTAGAGACTGTTTCAACTCAAAAAAGCCTTCTCCCTTAAGCTAAAGTAAAACTATGTAAAAGGATTTACAAAAAAAGTAAATAATTGGATCAACCTATGATGTCGTTTAGGCGTCAACCAAATTCTCTGAGGTATTAAAAATAGCTGCCCTTATTTTAAAAGGGAGGTCATTTGGAACTTGACTTGTCAAAGGAAGATATAAATTGTAAAAGGCTTCCAAAACAAAATTTGGATCTGACTGTTCTGTCTATACATGTGTGTTATAAATATGGGATAGTTTTCTACCTCCAGATGTTACTGTTAAAATAAATTTAAAGGAAAGTACTTGTAAGGATTGAGTATTCTAAATTTCTCAGAAAAATATAGAAACTAATTCAAATGCTTTTCAGGTTCATGTGATCTAAGATTAATCCTTAGCAAATAAAACAGACATCTCTATTTTACCTGGGTTTTGCAAAAATAAGTCCATGTTAATAATTGACTTCCATGTATGAAATGTTTCTAGAGGTTATTATAAAAGGTCTTAAATATATTTGCCAGTAAAAGAGCCTATGTTTCTAGAAATTATAAAATGTCTTCATAAATCTGCCAAGCTAAAGAATGCTAATTGCTTATATAGTTTCCATTAGAAATTGGGATTTTTAAGGATTAAAATCTCAATAATGTAGGAATAACTTTACGGCGTTCCAAAAGGGCCCCTGGAATACCTCAAAAGATTTGTCTTTCATGTTATATTTTATGGGAAGCATTGGAAAATAAGTGATGAAAAAACATCTAGGGTATATTTCATGGGTAAACAGTGTTACAGTTGGCCTGTGGGAAAACCCAAGAAGGCTGCTTGGTTCTTCCTGGCATCACCATAGTGCATTTAAGCTGAATTTAGATAAACTTATGAGCTGACATTATTGAAAAGAGACATCTTATACTACTGCCAAGGTTTGATAGTCACTTGAGAGAAATCACCAGTTGGTAACCACTTCCATTCACAGTAAGCTCCCAGGAGACAAAGATTTTTAAAGATCATTGACTGCCACCTGGAGATTTTATTGGAAAGGACATCAAATAAAAGACACTCTCCAACTTCATTGGAAGGGACCTTATCCGGTGCCCAACTGCAAATGGACACCCTCTCTACAAAGACTCCTTGAGGACCAGAAGCCACTTACACCAGAGGTAGACAGCTATCCTAAGACATTGACAAGGCCTGCATACCTATGGAATAATATTGAACTCAGAATCCATTTTGTTTGATTGTCTTTACCTGTCGCTAATGACTGTAGTCATGATATACTTGTTCTTTGGGTTTTTCTATATAGTCCAACTGTTAATGATTACTGAACATGTATAAAGATAACTGTTAATATTCTTTCCATGGCTTATGCAAACCCTATAGATGCCAAATACAGAAAAATGGAAGAGGCAAAACTCAGATCATGTTAGTTAAAGATAGAAATGATCCATCATGTTTTTTCACAATAAAGGCCCTAAGACCTGACTGCCTTCCATTTACCTGCCCTTTGTTTTGGGAAAATTCAGCCTCGACCTACATCCCTTTGTGGATGAATAAAGGGGCTAGCTCTATGGAAAGTAACCTCACAGGGTGATGCAGTTATACATTCCTAAAAAGTCACGGTGAACGGTCACACTCCAGGCCTATAACTTCTTTACTAAAAGGTTTAAGTAAACCTTGTTCATTGTTTCTATGCATTTAGGTTAACACACCTTTGAAATGCCTTTCACACCCCTCCTTCTGAAGCACAGCCACCCTCAAAAGAGCATATAATCTTAACTAACCTGTAATCCAATCCCCCCTTTGCTCTCTCCTACCTTAGTGTAAGCTTTAGTTCTTAATCTCAAATGCATAAAAGCAACTACAGTTATTCTCCAGCCAAGGTTTGACAGAGTCGCTCAGTCTGTTGAGATTTTGCTTTCAAGTGTATCCTGTTATGTGGCTCAAATAAATTTTTTAAAAAAATTCTCTACAGGTTTGGATATTCTTATGTTGACACCATGGTTATGGTTTTGCTCCATCCCCAATGGTCACTGTTTCAACAGAGGGTGACATCAATACTGAGACTTCCTGGGCATGAACCTTCCTAGTGCTGAGACCATACTATCCCATGAAAAGGTTGGTAGTCAGTGCATCCTTTAGATTTACAACTAAAACGGGGAATTGTAGATGAAAAATGGGTGCTGTAATAAATCATAAATTTCTAACTTGGTGGGTAGTCATGCCCCAGGCCTATAACTTCTTTAGTGAAAGGTTTTTAAGCAAGTCCTGTTCATTTTTCTTGTGCATCTAGGTTAACATATCTTTGAAACTATAGAATACCCCTCCCAAGGCGTAGCCCATCCTTAAGAATGCACATAATCTTGTAATCCAGTTCCTACCTGGCTTTCTCCCACCCTTATATAATTTTCTTTACATTCTCTCCTTAATTTCATATGCACAAACAAAACTGCAAACTGTTATTCTCTGGAGCATTTCAGATCTTACTTCCTGGCAGTTGTCAACTTTGGACGTTTCTCTCTTGAGGTAAGTAGGGTGCAGTGCCTGTGAGGTACCTTCTAAGCTTCCCAGCTGGGTGTTAACCACTGAATGAATTTTTCTTAAGACAGGACTTAAGGCTAACTAGAACATAGAGCTGGTTTACTGGAAGGAGGTTTGGCCATAAGAAAGCACAGGCAAAGTCTCTATGAATGAGAACATGGTCCTTGATTATATATTAGTTTTTGGGTAAAAGATAAAGCTCTAAAAATTCATAAAATAACATTTCTGAAATCACTAATCTTAAGAAGGTAAAAACTAGCATCCATTTAATTCATTTAATAGTTTCTAATTAAAGAAGTTCAGAAAAGGTGACCTTTGCCCAGCTCTTAACTGCTATATATTTTTTAGATTTCTGTAAATTCTACAATTTCTACCTAAATACTACATTGGTTCCCCTCTTCAACTCCTAATAAGCATACGGGGGAGTAGAAAGGAAATCCAGCCTTCTGCTTTTAATTACCTTTAGTTCCGTAATCCAGAGATTTCAAAAACAAGGGATGAGTGTGATGTTTGGTTTATTAGACCGAACTTTTTGAGGATAGGAACTGTCCTGGTTGTGCATCTCTACCATGTAATGACTTAAATGGTATCCGTTTTGTACTATGAGGGATAATTAAGGAAACTGGACATAGTTAACCTGAAAATGATTACTTAGAAAATTCAGTGAGTGTCAGATATATAAAAAGCCATGAATAGAATCTTTTCTAGGATCTTTGATTTTGCAAAAGCAGTTTTATCTTACCATAACGAAGTAACTAGTGCCAGATTTGCCCTCTCACCAAAAGCGACTTTAAGCCTGGACAAAACAAGTGGGCAGTGTTGCCGTAAGAGAATTTTTCTTAGAGTTTATACCAAACTAATGACATATGCCAGGGAGCAAGATCTAAAATGCTCCCTCCATAACAGTTTTGTAGTTTCTTTTATGCATTTAAACCCAGGAAGGGAACATAAGGAAGATTACATGAGGGTGGGAGAAAGCAAAGCAAGGATTGGATGAGCTCTCGATCACTTTAGAAGGAGGGGGTCTGAAAGCGGGCATTTCAAAGGTATGTTAGCCTAGATGCACAGAAACAATGGATGGGCTAGCTTAAGGCAAAGATAAGCTTTTCTGTAAAGTTATAGACCTAGGGCCTGACTACTCACTAAGACCTGCCCAGTTAGGAATTTGTGATCAGATCACCCTGTGAGGTTACTTTGCATAGGACCTCCTCTTTTGGCATGTATTTTCAGACATTGCACAACAGACAGCACAACAGATCCCCAAGAGGAAGGCAGCACAGAATGTTAACACCACAGTTGCTCATCCTGAGTTTCTGCCTCGGGGTATCTTCCAGCTTTATCATGGGGAGGTTGAGCCCAAGCAGAGTAGCAGTTTTGCTGAGCTGAAGAGGGTGAGGTTGGGTTACTGAAGCAGAAGGAATTTAAAAAGAGTTCAAGAGAAAAAGCTGTGGAGAGGGAGGCAGAAATTGGCATGGAGTCTCATCCAGAGTACTTCTCTGAGGTCTGAGATGTTCATATACAGGAAAAGGATCTGCAAGACCTAGCAAAAGA